TAATATTTATACAATAGAATAATAGCCACCTCAAAGTTTTCATTAAACATACACGATAAAATCAATTATGATTTGAAATAAATTTTTTTTAATGCCTACCAGACAAATCATAATTTCCTGATTGAATATTTTAATATTTTAAGAGTTTTTTAATTCATTAATAATATATTTTAATACATAAAAATAATAATAATAAGAATTAACGTCTTCACAAAGGATTTATAAATTGCTATAAAATAAATTAAAGATTCTTTGGAAATGGAGATACTTTATTACAAACATCTAATTTCCTCCTTTCGCTATAACAATTAAATAATAAAAATAAATAATAAATTTTAATTGGATTTTGGAGAATTAAAATAATAAAAGTTCATTTGAAACTTATTTCGTGGCATTAGAGACGACCACTGGAACTATTTATTTTTTAAAAAAAAAAATAATATATTGGTTAAATTGATAAAATATAAATTTCGAAACATTAAAATTCCATCAATGTTTATTAAATAATGCTTACCAACAATGATGATAATGATTATCAAAAGCGCAAATACAATAAAAGCGAACCATCTTCTTTTAGAAATATCACGATACCAAGGACCAGCTTGTTTCCAAGGTTCAACATTTTCTTCAATACTATGAGTTTCATAAGTTGATAATTCCAAATCATTATTATTTGCTGACCGATCAAATCCTGATGATTCGGTGGTGGCTAAAAACGAAAAAGGAGATTAATAGATTAATAGGTATATTTATTATTATTTTTTATTTTTTAAAAAAAATTTACATTTTATGACGGCATTAGCATCGGGTGTATCAATTTTAAAACTTATATTTTTTCCTTCACTTGTAGTAGTTCTAGATAAAGCTATTTTCTCTTGACTACCAACATTCGTTGTTGCCGTTTCTTCTTGACTCATAATTATTTTTTAAAAGAGTATTCATAAAAGAAGTTGTGAAAATTCACAAAAAAAAAAAATTTTTTCCAATTTATATTTTCTATGATATCATATTCCAAAAAAGAACAATTTGAATTTCATTATCATTCATCATTTTTAAGGAGAAATATAATGTAGTATCACATTTCATTAACTTACTATTTGATGGTGTATTAATCATACCATAATTGTCATGTGGAGTAACATATGATCGTGGTAAATTGTTTTTAAAGTTTTCTTTGCGGCTAATTTGTTTCTAAAATAAGGATATTGCGCGATCGGAACATTACACAAGTCAAGTTGTGTAACATCTAGACAATGGCTCCACAGAACCAGGGTTAAAAATAGAATTTCAGATTTACCAGAAATTTTGTCGACCGTTCTTAATAAATATGATTTTTATATTTAACCAAAACATTATATTTATTTAATTTTTCTTTTTACAATTTTTATACCAAATTTGTAATGCACTATTCAAAATTAAATTCCATTAAATTTACATTATACAATCCAACCGCCATTAACATATGTAATGTATCAAAATAAAATGAATTCGAAATATCAGGAAATAACGCAAATATCATGATTTGGAAACATGATATTCGTGGACAGTACAATTTTTAATTCCGATCCTTTTGGATAAACTCATTAAAAAAGGTGACGATAGATTAATTCAATGTCTTGACCCATCTCGTCCGTTGGTCTAGACAATCTACACCCATAGCAAAAGAGTATTAATAAATTTATTTTTTTAAGGTTATTTTACTTTTGATTATCAAAAAGAAATCTAATATTTAATTGAAAGATTGAAGAAAAAAAAATTAAAAATAATTATTTTATTAACGTTAATAAAAGATTCAATAAATAAATAAAATTGATTAATTAATCTATAAAGCTCGTTCAAATAAATTTTCACCAACTATATCTTCAAGACCTTTAAGAGAAACTTTAATTAAGAAATTTCTTACAAGTTCGGTCGTTATTCCAGCAATTTTAACGACTACACCATTTATTACGTCTTGTTTCTCACCAAGAATGGAGGCAGACCAAATTAAGTCAGGCATTACACTTATTTTGTCTATAACGATTTTATTAAATTCTTCCATTATAGAATTAATTAAAGGAAGAACTTTTGGACCATATAAAACTAAAGTAGCATAACATTCATATGGCTCCAAACGGGTTTTCAATAATATATGATGATTCTTTTTTAATAATATTACATCACGAAAAATTAATTTATCACCAAGAATTAAATCAATACCAGAATTATACTTTAAAAAATCCCAACGTTCACCGCGAGACATTCTACCACAAGTAAACCAATCAAGTATAACGACAGAAGAAGTTCTATCTTGTAAAGTAAACATTTGTCTTTGAGTAAATTCAGCATCTCGAAAACAAGTTGTTGGCTCGGGTAGTTGAAGTAATAAAGAATCTTTATGTATAAAAGCATTAACCGTTTGTTGAGTTCCCTTAGATTTTATTACTTCTTCACCATTTTGTTGAATATTGTTATTAACAAACATTCTTCCTGGACGTTGTTTATATATCTTAGTTGAACCTTGTGTTAATAACATTAAATTAACATTTGGATGAGATTCAACTGAAAGAGAAACGGAATCCCCTGATACCATTCCTCCTCCGTATGTTATGATATAAACTGCTGCTAAATATGGACTATGTAATTTAGGTGTTAAAAGTTTTATTGGATATGACGCATGAAAAGTGGAGAATGATGGTTTGGTCGTTGAAGGAGATACATAACATTTAATTTGACCATGTCCTGGTGGTAGTTTTGAATTTTTTGCATTATATTGTTCTAATGTCATTTTTACCGGGAAAAAAAAAAAAAAAGTGTAAGAGAATGAAAGAAAAATAGTTAGGTATGACAAATATATAGATATATTCTACAATCATGTGCGTTCCGACAAAAATTCTGGTCAACCAATTAGAGCGGAATGATTTTTAATTTTCGGTATATTATCTATATATATACGCGATTTTTTTTTTTTCGGATATAATTTTCATAATTATTTTTATTAATATATTGGATAAAGAAAGAGGGAAATTTTTGTTTTTTTTTTTTATAATAAAAAATTATAATATTGTTTATTATCTTATTCTATTAATTACTTATATATTTACTTTTTTGGGTCGGATCGGGTCGGGTAAACCAGAAATGATCCCTCGGGTCGGGTAATTTGATTAACCCGATCCGACCCGACCTTGTTCGGAGCTCTAAATCTGAATCAATTTTATTGTATAAAAAAATTTTAACCTTCTAACCAAGAAAACATTCACGATAATATAATGTCTGATATTAATGAAAGACTTCGAATTATTGCGGCAATTCCTTCACAAAAGGACAAAACTACAGAATATCGTTCTTTACTTGAAACCATTTTAACTTCAACAAATGAACCAATACTTGCGGATAGTTTAGAAGCTTTTGTTGATCATATTGTACAAGAACAAGTTGGCTTGGTTATTTCTCGTCAAGTATTAAGTGACTTTGTACAAGGTGTTGACAAAATTAGTAATTCAGAGATTAAGAAACGTGTTCTTCATTTTGCTTTAAGTAAAGTACAACCTAGAGTTGTTAGCTTCGAAGAACAGGTAAGGTTGTTTGGTTATGGTTTTTAATTTTAATTTTTTTTAAATTTTTTAATTATTTTAAATTGATATTATTTTCGCGTTTTTATCATTATAGATTTCAACCCTTCGTGAGAAATTGGCAGAAATCTATGAAAATGAGGAAGATTGGCTTGAGGCAGCTAAAGTGTTACAAGGAATTCCATTAGACTCTGGACATAGGTATAATTCATTCAATACAAAAGATTTTTCTTTTTTTTTTCTAATTTACTATTTGATTAATAAATTATTTTTTTAAAAGAACTATACCGGAAGAATATAAATTAAAGATTTATATCAAGATCGTTCAACTTCTTTTGGAAGAAGACGAAGCAGTTTCAGCAGAAACATATCTCAGTCGTGCTGCGTTACTAGTTCCTAGCTGTAAAGATCAAGTGATTAATCTTACATTTAAATTATCGCAGGCGAAAATATTTGATTTCAAGAGAAAATTCTTGGAAGCTAGTTCAAAATATCACGAATTGAGTTATGTTTCAGAGTTAGCGGCTGATGACCGTACAAATTGTTTGTGAGTATTCACTTGAACAAATGAATTTATTTTACAAAATAATAATAATAATAATAAGTTTACAATTATTTTTATTAAAAGGAATGCAGCTATAACTTGTGCAGTGTTGGCAGGAGCAGGACCACAACGTTCACGTATGTTGGCAACACTTTATAAGGATGAACGTGTCCAACGTTTACCGCATTTTTCAATTTTGGAAAAAATGTACCTTGATCGCGTTTTAAGGCCAAATGAAGTTAAAGGATTCGCAGAAACCCTAAAAGATCATCAAAAGGCAAGATTGCCAGATGGTACAACAGTACTTGATAGAGCTGTTATCGAACATAATCTTTTATCAGCTTCAATGATTTATAATAATATAACATTTGAAGAACTTGGTTCTTTGTTGGCTATTTCTCCTGATCAAGCTGAACAAATTGCTAGTTCAATGATTGAACAAGGTCGTATGCAGGGTACAATTGATCAAATTGAAAGGTTAATATTCTTTGAAAGTAGTTACGGAAGTGGTGGTAAATCTATTTGTGGCGTGCTGGGAGCTAAATGGGATTTAGCTATTCAAAACGTTTGTCATCACGTCGAAGAAGTTGTAATTGCTATAGGATCTAAATATCCTGACCTTATGCAGAAATCTTCCTTTTAAAAAGAAAATCGGTATAAGTTCAAGGTAAAGTTATTAAAGTGTCTAATGTATTATTAAGCTGTTCTTCATTATCATAATGTTTTTTAACAAATAAACGAGACTAATTATTATTTAAAATCAAGTTTAAGTCCTTATAATAAGGTTTTTTTTTTTTTTTTTTTTTTAATGTATTTTATATAAATTTTAATTTACTTTCGGTATCAAGAACAATAAAAAAAAAAAAAGATATTTATATATATGTAAAAAAAAACAATGTACAAAATTACTTGGAATTATGTCTCGAGACACTATGCCAATCTTCTTCGATAGTTGAATCAGTCAAAACACTTTCAATATCAGAGTCGTCATCAATTTCTTCAAAAGCAGATTCCTCGCTGTGAATCAAATCATCATCAGTTTCGCTATCAATGCCACCGGCAGAAGGTTTTGATATACAACGAACGGCAGTAGTTGTTCTTGTCGTACTCGAAGGATTGCCGAATGTATCGGTTGTATGTTGTAAAACACGAGTCGAAGCCGGTCCCTGGATATGAGAACCATCATCGTCATCATCGTCGTCTACATCATTGCTTGAAATTTCAGTAAAAGAGTCACTTTCATCTGCATGGTCGATATCATTATCTTGATCATCTTCGGCTAAAAATTCCAAGAAAAGTTGAGTTTCTCTTTCAGCATCTGCATCCAATACTGCATGCCTTAATTCATTATTATCTAACAAAGTCTGTGGAGAAGGAGTATCGGCAGTGGATTTAGGTTTACCATACGTTTTACGAAAATTTAAAACTGATCTACCGGTTCTTATAAAAGATGATCCATTATCGGCACGATCATAAAAAACATATTCGGTAGATGATATACCTAAACCTTCATCTAAATGGTCCAATAAAGTTGCAACATCAATAGACCCGTAAAAATTTGAACCATTCCATTTATGATGTTCAATAAATGGTATATCAAACCCATCTAATTGAACATTTAATAATGTAACTAATCCAGTTAATACTGAAGTTACGTTTGATGCTAATTTTGTTGAACTATTATTGCAAAATTCAAATAATTGTCTTAAATAATTAAATGGTTCTTCAAAAACTACCAGACGGTTGTTATTATAGATTTGTGGATAAAATGAACTAAATGGTCCTTTACTATCAGATTCTCGTAATTCTGTACGAATATATTCTCTAGTAAAATCAATAGGCGGTGAGAAAAAATCGTTGGAAGGATTATTAAATGAATTCACATTTGTAGTGACATAAGTGATATCGCTATCTCTTGTTTGATTTGTCTCTGACGTTGAAATGGTTGATGATGGCGTTAATAAATCGATTGGACTTTGCTTTAATGAAAAATTGTCGTTATTATTGTTATTATTGTTATTATTTAAAAAAAAATCAATTGGTGAAGTACAATTTGAATCTGTTTCAATATTTTCATCATTTAAAGTAGTCGCTGAGACTTTGTGAAATCTTGTAGAAGAAATCGTAGTATCGGATGCTCGTGGTGATAATGTTGATGATAATTGAAATGGTTGAAATGAATTATCATTTAAAAAAGATGGAAAAGGATTTGAAACAAAAGTATTTGATTTGAGTAAATCATCATCATCCTTATCATTATTTGGTCTTTTCCTTCTAAAGTTTCCTTCGATTAATTCTTTTGGGTTTAAATTTTGTTCGATATCCATATCTTGTATGTCTTGTTCAATTTGTAATTTCACAAAATCATCATTTACAGAAGCGGTGGTAGTATTTGAAATGGAAGAGGATGAAGACATCGTTTCTTTATATGGTCTTTTTGCTGAACTCATTTTAAATAAAATATAAATATATACACATATAATAATAGTTTTTTTTTTTTTTTTTTTTGATGTTTTAGACAAATTTCTTTTCAAAAAAAAAAAAAAAAAATAGAGAAAAAAAATTATGTATATCACGTTATTTATAATTTCTTTTACTTTTGGAGAAACTAAAATTAAAATTTTAAAAAAGAAAAACAAAAAGTATCGGAAAAAAAAAAAGCAGGGAAAAAAAAAAAAATTTTATTTTGTGTGTGAAAGTTGAATTCCTAAAAAGTTTTAGAATCGGGAAAGGCGGAGTCAAATTTTTATAATCAAAAAAAGATTTTACTAATTTCTTACAAATCGGACCATTTTTTTTTTCGGATTAAAAACTCCATGCAGGAAAAAACCTGTCATCCAAGTTGATCCTAACTATTTATTCTTTCCTTTTCTTATAATGATATACAATTTGCATGGTAACATCTAACTTCACCTTGTTTTAAACAAAGAACTTTATTATGCAAAATTTCTTTCTCATGTTTTATAATCAAATCGAGTTAATTATTTTTGTTTTTAATAAAGGGAAAAGGAATTAAAGGAATTTCAACTTCGAGTGATCTATAACAGATGTACTTTTTAGCATACGGCAGTTCTAACTCCAAGAAAAATATTTTTTTATTTTTTTCTTTTGTTTTCGAATTTCGAATTATATCCTTGTTCTATAAATGGAAATATATCAAAATAAAAAAAACATTTAACAGATCACATTTCATTTTAGGGTCTGATTTTCTTAAAAATGATAATCTTTATTAAATCTATAATTAAAAAAAATCTTTAAAAAAAATTAGTTTATAATAATAAATAAAAAATATTTTTTTTTGAATTATTGACAAATATTTAAATAAATCAAATATTATATCTTAAAGTTTTAATAATGTATAATTACAAATCATATGCTTAGTAAATTTATAAATATTATTTTATATCATATAAATACTAAATTTGCTAATTTATTTTAAACCTAATAAAATAATTAATATAAAAACTTATATATTTAATGCTATAATATTTAATTTAAAAACTTTTTATATATAAAAAAGTATTATCTAAACTACAAATTTATAAATAAATTTTTTTAAAAAATAATAATTTAATTTTTTTCTATTTATTTAAAACTATATAATTATTTATTTATATTAGGTTATTAGATGTAATTTTATGTATTGTAAATCAATTAAAGAAGATCATATATCATCAAAATTAATTAACATACTATATCAGAAAAATCAGATTGAATTTATTTGATTTATCTGATTTATTAGATTTATTTTAATTTGTTATTTCTTTAAATATTTATTATTTTTTATTATAATTATTATAATATTATTTATATTATTTTTAGTGTTTTTTATTATATTTTTATTATATTTTATTTTACAAATTTTTCATTTTTTATAGTTTAACAAATAATTAATTGCAGTAAATAGTTTTATATAAAATATATCATATTTTGCTTAAATTATAAATTAATTTTTATGTGATTTTCAACTTATTAATAAAGGAATCAGTTAAAACTTACAAAATTATTTTTCTTTTAACATTATCATTCATCTAAAATTTGATTATAATACTTATACTAATTTGTTTTTAAAATTATTATTAAATTAAATTAAATAAATTATTAAAAAATGAAAAATATATAAAATTTTAAATTTAATATGATACAAGTAAACTACATTTAATAATAAAATTGTAATACTTAAAAATTTTCAAAAATTTTAAAAAATAAAATTTAAAGAAAATAAATTAATAACTTTAATTTTCAAGATATATTTATTAAAATTTTTGATTAAATTTTTGAAAAAAAATTTATATAAAAAATTATAAGCATTTAAATTTATCTGATATATAATTAGCCTATATTTAAAATAAATTGAATCATATAAAAGCAATATTATGTTTATAATTAAGGCTAAAATTATGATAATTTAGTATTAACATAAATTATACATTCATTTGATCATAGAAAATCCTTTTAATTATGATAAAATCTTTATAAATTAATGAGAAAAATTTTATTAATATTACATAAAATAAAATATTAATAATAAGTTAGTAAAATACCTAAAAAAAAAGAATGTTATATATTTCTTAAAACTATTATAGAAGAAATAGAGTTATTAAAAGTAAAAAATAGTTAGAAATAAAATTGTTGATAAATAATTAGAAGATAAAACTATTAAAAAGATTAAAAGAGTTTAATAAAATAGAAAAGAAGTTTATTTCTAAAATTATTTATTAGCATGAGAATGCTATTTGTAATAATAAAGTAGTATATATTAAAAATTCAAAAATTACAATATAAAAGAAGAAAAAAATATAATTAGATAATGATATAAAAGGAATGAGAATACTTGACACATTTTTAAAGTTTTGAAATTTTGTATTTATAATAATTATTATAATTATTTCTATCACAATTATCTTCACTTTCATCATTATTATTACTAATACCATTTTTATTTTCAAAAATTTATCCATTTTTCATTTATAATTTATATATATATTTGAAAGAAATAGATTAGCAATATATTTTATTAAAATTTGCAAAAAAATCCTTACCTATGATTATTTATAATATTTAAATATCTGTAGATTTATTCAGCTTTTATTAGTAGAGCAATTTTGGGGGTTTTGGGGTCAAAATCGAAAAAAAAATATCCAGAAAGATCCCAATCATAGGCCAGAAGCCCTTCTAGCTATATGAATCCATAATATAGAATTCAGGTCTAAA